ACCAGAAGGCTGGGGGTTCAAACCCACCAGCCACTCCTCGGAAGGAAGGTTGGGCAATCCTACTTCCGTAGTGATACTGCCTCCGAAACCCAAGGAGAGGTCGCTATGAGTCGGGGCTGACTCAACGGCATACAACAACAACAACAACAATAATTCAGTAAACAATAATGTGATTCCTGATTAAGATCAATATAAGTAAAGCAAAATCACTGTCCTGTATATTTATGTCATAAGAAATATTAGTCTAATTATATAATCAAAGATCATAGTAAGTATTGTATGGTACTAGGCATTCATTCTGCAGTATGTGTTAAATACTCCACTCAAGGTTAGCACCACAAAGTTTTTAAGGGACACTTGCATGACCCAAAATAACAGAAGTGGCTCAGCATCCAGGCCAATGCCTATAGACTTCTCAGATGGTCAGTTATCCCCTGGGCAGCCAATCTTACATAACTTTAATTTCACCTCTTGGACATTTCCTTTATATTCTTGGTACAACTGAAACTTATGTTTTCTGGAAACATGGCTTGTCCTATAGTCCTTTAAAGTTTTTGCTGTCTATTTTCCCAAATCTCGTATGGCTTTGAGACAGAAATTCGAACAGTTATCCTCCTTTCTCCACATTCTCCATTCTCTTGTCTTTCTCTTTTTAAAAGCCCTCAGTTTTGAATCACAAGTCATCAGACTTTGCTGTCCTCTACCTCTTTTTGTTGCTGTCATTAACACATGCCTTGTCTAAAACTGAACTGGTTACAACCTCCCAAAACCTTTATATTGTAGTCTTTCTACCTCAATTAATGACAGTCCCATCTCTTACAATCCTATATCCTTTCTAATTCTTACATCCCGTATCATCCCTTATAAACCTTAGAGTAATGGTTCACTTTCCTTTAGCTCTCACACCCCACATATAAATTATCAATACTTCTTTTGGCCCTATCTCCAAACTTTGTCTGTAATCTGACTGGTTCCTAGCTTCTCTGCTGTTAGCTCTCTCAAACTCCATTATGTCTCACCTGGATTACTAAAATAACTTCTTAATTGTTCTCTCCCTGCTCTTACCCTTTGTCAGAACAGTGATTCATCAAAAACAAATTATATCATGTCACCTCTCTGCCCAGAACTCTCCCAAAACTACCGATGTCATTTAGAGTCAAAACCAAAGTTCTGGCCCCACATGATCTCTCTGACTTCATCTATTATCTTCCTTTTTGTAGTCACATAAGTCTTCTTGCTATTCCTCAAGTAATGAAGCACGCTACTCCTTAAAAGTCTTTGCACTTTCTCTTCACTGGAAAACTCTTACTCTAGATATGTGAATGGCTTACCCATTCATCTCCATGTCTTTCTACAAATCTCACTGTTTCTAACTATAACTGTTTCTGACCTTCCTCATTCAATTTGCACCTCACAATCCCCTCTTTCTCTGCTTTATTATTCTCCATAACTCTCATCATTTCCTATATACTGTACAAATTTACTTATATATTGTGTTCCTTTCAATTAGGATGTAAATTCCACAAAGGCAGCTATTATATAGATTTTGTTCAGTATGGTACCTCAGTGTCTAGAATAGTGCCAGACACAGAATAAGAGCTCAAAAAATAGTTGTTGAATGAATATATGCATAATTTTTAGAAATGTAATTAACCAAATGCCTTAGCTAATAAATATCTATGAGAAACTTTGTAAGAGATTTCATAAACAAGAAGAGGGAAAAATAGTTTAACTATGTAGTAGGAAAATCTTTGCTTTCATTTATTTTTCTCATAATGGGGTTATGAATGAACATAATTGTGGAATAGATACATAAAATGCATTTCACACCATCAACATGGAAAAATAAAATGCAACATTTTGTATTTTTTTGCAAAGGAACAAAGTGAAACCTAAAGGTTTTTATCTCTTAGTTGAGATCACAATCATTGAAAAACGGCAATTTAATTCTGGAGCCCTGCTTACTGAGTTAAAAGGGGAACTTTGAAAATGTCTTGGAAAAGTTTCATAGAAAATTCTTGCTATTGAAGAGGCAGAGTTAGTTTACAAAGAATGAACCAGGGCTTGGAGTGAAAAGGAGTCCCTGAGTGGTACAAACGATTAATGCAATTGGCTGCTAACCAAAAGGTTGGTGATTTGAGTCTACCCAGAAGCACCTTGGAAGAAAGATCTGGTGATCTACTTCCAAAATAAGCAGCCAATGGAAACCCTATGGGCCACAGTTCTACTCTGACCCACACGGGACCCCTTGAAACTAGGACTCAATTCTGATTTGACTACAACTGGCAGTGGTGGTGGTCAAGGTATGAAAGACGTTTTGGGTTTGAGTCCTAGTTCTCTCAATAAAGTTGAAAGTAAGTTGTAATTCAAGGTTAGACTGTAAAAAGTTAAAAAAGGCCTTGTAAAACGTATAGTCATATATGGAAATATTTTATATTTCAAATTCTATCACCATAAATACTTTAAATAAAGAAGTCAGTAATTGCTATTTCATGTTTAAAATATTTGGGTCTTACTATGCATGTAAATATTACCTTAGAAGCTTCACTGAGGTTAGACTTAAAATTCCTATCAAAGTATGAGATTATATGAAAAATAATTTATATGAATATACCTTCTTACATTAGAAGTATCATATCTTCACATATTATTTTACTATTCAATCCTTACAAATATCTCAGAGTTAGAAATGATTTGTCATCTCCATTGTACTGATGAAGAATCTAAACTTCAAAAAAAATAACAAAAACATTTAAGCTCTCCCAAGATTTCAATGTCTGGTATATTTTATATCATATCCTAGGATTTTTATTAAAGCTGTAGTAGTAAAGTACAATGGACTGCCAGAAGAACAAAGAAATCTGCCTTGCAAGAAGTGCAACCAACCAGAAAGCTCCTTGGAAACAAGAATGGCTAGACTTTGTTTCACCTATTTTGGTCATGTTGTCAGACCAGACTATCCCTGGAGAAGGATATCTTGTTTGGTAAAGTGAAGGGTGAGTGAAGAAGGGGAAGGTCCTCAATAGGATGGA